TAGATTCAGCCAAAGTGCCTGGCACGTCCCACCTTGAAGAAAGACAACAGGCCTTCCGGTCTCCCACACAGGACCAGGGGCCCCTTCTTGCACCTCAGGCTGTGGGTCCAGAGAGAGAGCCCTCTGGGCCCCCATAACAGCCTTTTCCCCTATAGAAAGCAATGCAGGGTGGAGGGTCCCCATCGGTCTTGGCGTTTTTCTTCTGAGTGGATCTCTGGTTTATGCTGGGGGCATTCCCCTGCTTCCAGGCATGGCTGACCCCACACCCACCTCCCCAAACAGCTCCAGAGGAGGAGGGGGTCACTTTTCACTGTCTCCATGACCCCCCCTTACCACCAACCCCCCCCCAATTCCCTTCCCTAATTAGCGCTTGGAGTCCAAGCTGGTCGCTGTGGTAACGCCACATCTCCTGCCAGCATCTTGCTGAGGGGGAGGTTGTGGGGGGTGGAGCTGCTAATTAGTGGCTGGATTTTCCAGAACAAATGAGCTTGGGGGGGAATTGCTATAGGGATGCCATGTGGATGGGGGGGGGAAATGGGGGGGGACAGGAGTGGATATGGGTGTCTGTCTGTCACTTTCCTGTGGAATTCATCATTTCTTTTTCCTTGGCCTGATCCACTGGCCCGGCCGGTCTTCTCAAGTTGTGGGTCCATACTGGCACCCTATAACTGGGGATTGGGGCAGTCAAAGTATATGCCTTCAGGCAAGCCCTCTCCCCCCCCATCCCTCCACCCCACAGATTGGCCAGGGATCTCTCCCCTTTAGAAATCAACCCATCTCCTTGTCTGACCATTTCCCCTTCCTGTGATCCCCCCCCCTTGAACGAGTACTTTGGGGGAGGGACGAGGAGCTGGATAACTACGAAAGAATGGGTGTTGGGGTGCCGGTGGGCGCGATGCTGCTCATGATGGGGAAACAGAGGGAATGTTACTTTTCACAATACGGTTTCCAGAATCCTGTAGGAGTTGGAAACTAGCGTCCAAAACTCTTAATTTCCCCCAAACTCTAAGCGGCAGAACCTGTATTTCTAGGCTTGGACTGCTTGGGGAAAACCCACACAGTAGCTTTCGGTATGATGAAAACTCCATACAAGTTTGCAGTTGTGGGAAGACACTGAAAATGTTGGGCGTTGGGGCAGGGGAAGAATTCTTTTCAGGGTATTCGTGGGGTGGAGGGGATATCCCACCTTCCCACTGTTTTTCTTGTTTTCTTGCAGCTCTTCCGAGAAGTAAGGATTATGAAGGGCCTGAACCACCCTAATATTGGTAAGAAGGTCAAGAGAGATGGCTGGGGATCATGGGAGTTGTTTGCAGCACACGAGGGAAGCGCAAGCTGAGGGAGGCTGGGATAGTGGGTAGAGCGTCAAGTATGGAACCGAGGAAGGCTGGATTCTGGTCCCCTCTCAACCAGAAAAGTTAATCCCATGTCTCCAGAAGACAGGGTTTTTGGCAATGAAAAAGTACAGGAGAATTCCCCCAAAGACTTATAGGAACACGGCACGGGAGGCTGTAAACCGGCTGCCCCTGTTTTTTTTTTTAAATTAAAATATTTTATTATTTGTATTGTTTTACCATTGCTTTATTACTTTATCAGTTGGTTTGATTGCATCTTGTGGTTTTCCTTGCAATTCACTTGGGGGTCTTTTAAAATTAAAAGAGGCTTAGAAACCTTTGTAGACGGATAAACAGAATGAAAACATGTAGGCAGAAGTGGCAGTGGGGATGAAGAAAAAGACAGAGATACAGAGAAACCATTTCTGCAGCTGACTTCGATTCTTGTAGTGCAGAACTGGAGTTTTTTTTTATTTTGATGACATTTGCAAAGATTTGTTTAGATATTAAAATGTTCCTGTTGGCTTTCACTCACCAGCCCACCCTCAGGAAGATTTCTACACAGCATATGTTTATGGTGGCATAAGATATATTAAGTTTTTTTTGTAGTGCCTTCAAGAAATAAGGGTTGTGAGGTTCTGAACACACACACACACACACACACACACACACACACAGAGAGAGAGAGAGAGAGAGAGAGACAGCCACACAACACACAGACACACACACACACACACACACATGAAGGGCAGAAGCCCAAAGGGGGATCTGATGAAGCAATTTACAGGAATTACATTGAGAAGAAATGTGTTGCTTCAGAACAAAACGTATTCATCTTCACGGTTCCACAGCACTCTGCGTTGGTTCTGTTGGAACAGACGAACAGCTGCCTTTTACTCCAGCCTCTTCAGGTGGGGCAGGAAAAAGTGATGGGACCTTCCTCTTTGTTGCAGTGAAACTCTTTGAGGTGATCGAGACGGAGAAGACCCTCTACCTGGTGATGGAATACGCCAGTGCTGGTCAGCATGAGGTCCTTTTTCCCTTCCTTCTCGCCCCTGCACTTCCACGGGAGGGCTCCCCCCACCCCGCCCGCCCCCTGCACTCCCAGTCCTGAGCTTTTTACACCCATTTTCTTCTTGGGATGTCCCCAACAGTAGAAACATCTATAGGTCACCCTATGCTTTGCATCATTTCTGTACTTCCAAGCAACAGTGGCAAGCCCTTGAAGGCGCTGCTGGGCCTCTCTGTTAGGAGGCTGGGAGAGTGGAAGGGTGGGGTGGGGGAAGAATGGAAGGGCATCATCCTGTTGCTGGTCCTCCCCAAGCTCTTAAAATACGAAGACCCATCTGCTTTCCATTTTACTTGAGTGACCTGCCCACAAACCACACAAGAGTCTTCAGCACAGTTGGGGCCAGTTGAAGATGTTGTGGTGTCCAACAGGAGGGTTCCCCCCACCCCGCCCGCCCCCCGCACTCCCAGTCCTGAGCTTTTTACACCCATTTTCTTCTTGGGATGTCCCCAACAGTAGAAACATCTATAGGTCACCCTATGCTTTGCATCATTTCTGTACTTCCAAGCAACAGTGGCAAGGCCTTGAAGGCGCTGCTGGGCCCCTCTGTTAGGAGGCTGGGAGAGTGGAAGGGTGGGGTGGGGGAAGAATGGAAGGGCATCATCCTGTTGCTGGTCCTCCCCAAGCTCTTAAAATACGAAGACCCATCTGCTTTCCATTTTACTTGAGTGAGCTGCCCATGAACCGCACAAGAGTCTTCAGCACAGTTGCGGCCAGTTGAAGATGTTGTGTCCAAGGGGGGGGGAATGCTGAAATCCTGCCTCCCGCACCCATCTTCCTGTATTGACCACGATCTGTTTCAGTGCAGCTGGCACGGGAGAGTTTACCAGTGGATTGCGCCCATTGGGGGGTCAATTCGGTTGCCCCAAAGGCACCAATGCCTGCCATTGCAAAGCAGCTGCTTCCTCCTGCTTCAGAGGAGACCCTCCTCAAGACCAGGAGGAAACACCTTCTTTGGCCCCCGCCCCAAAATCCAGGACAGACACAGAAACGGCTCCCCTTTGTCTGCTCTTTGCAGGAGAAGTCTTCGACTACCTGGTCTCCCATGGACGCATGAAGGAGAAAGAAGCCAGGGCCAAGTTCCGACAGGTTGGGAGATGCACACCTTTGGGGCCCAGGGTTTTCCCTCTTTCACTCCCAGGAAGGGGGGGGGCAGCTGGGATGCACCGTGTCCCCTCTGCCTTGGCAGGGAGCAAATGGCGGGTGGTTCCGCAGACTATGCGCTGGCCCCGGCAAGGCCCGCACAAGCCGGCTGGGGTTTGCTGCGGAGGAAGTGTTGGCCACTGCCCTGCCCTGCTGCGTTTTCATGTGGCCAAAGATTGATTCCCACATGCCAGCCCCTGGGTGCAGGGATCGACCCATGGAGCCTGGGCTCGCTGGCCTTAAAAGGGGACACGCATGATGGCTGGGGTGGGGGAGGGTGTGGTGTCTCAGCAGGAAAGGGGGGGTGGCGGCTTATGGGGTATTGCATGCCGGCCGTGACCCCTCTTGTGTCGTCCCCCCCAGATTGTTTCCGCTGTGCATTACTGTCACCAGAAGAACATTGTACACAGGGACCTGAAGGTGAGGATCTCCTGCCCTGCTCCCCTCCAGCCCCCCAACAAGAAAGCTCCCCCCCCTTAAGGGCGTCTCCTGCCTCTGTGAGCCCCAGCTCAGTCCTAGCCTTCATCTCGTGGCCACTGGCCTCGCTCTCTTCTAGCCTCTGTGCTCCCCCCTCTGTCGCATGGAAGGAATCATGCTTTGCCTGCCTTTCAGTGTTTCTGTGAAGCTGGGCAGGAGGGTGGGGAGGGGGGGTCTAAAAGAGGCAGTTAGGATCCAAGAGACCTGAGTTCGAATCCCTGCTTGGCCATGGAAATTCGCTCTCTCGGCTTAGCCTCTTTCACAGGGTTGTTGTTCCTTCCTGCCCTTGGCCTGGCTCTTCTGTCCAAAGGACAGAGGGCCCTGGTGACACTCCTGCCTCTCTCCCCTCCCCTCCCCCTCCCCCTCCAAACAGGCCGAAAACCTTCTGCTGGACGCTGACGCCAATATCAAGATTGCAGACTTTGGGTTCAGCAACGAGTTCCAGCTGGGCTCCAAGCTGGACACCTTCTGCGGGAGCCCCCCATACGCCGCCCCAGAGCTGTTCCAAGGCAAGAAGTACGACGGGCCCGAGGTGGACATCTGGAGCTTGGGGGTGATCCTTTACACCCTCGTCAGCGGCTCGCTGCCTTTCGACGGGCAGAATCTCAAGGTGCGCTCTCCCTGCGGGGAGGGTTCTAGGAAGAAGGGTTGGACTGGGGAGGAGGGTGCCCTTGGCTGTAGGGGAAGGTGCAGGGAGGGGGACGGCAGGGGGCTGGATTCAGAATTAGAGAGGCTCTCGGGGTCCCACTGACAGGGGCCCCCAAAAAGCAAAAGGGATGAGCCAAAGGCTGAGCCTTAGAAATGGCCTTTCGGGCTGCTCAGGTAAGGAAAACGACCTGGTGAAAAGCTGAGAAACCACCAAAGGATGGTGTCCAAGGGATGGAAAGTTGAGAGGGTCGGATTGGGGCCTGGGGCTTGAGTTTACTCATGGTTGCTTTGAGAAACCTCCAGTCTTTGGATGAAGCATAGAAAGAGAGGGGACTGGAATTTGGTTGTCTTGTCTGAAATTCTCTGCTGGCGCACCGATTCTTGAGAAAGAGAAAAGTAGGGTTGGTTCCCCCAACAAAGCACTTTAAAATGATGATTTTTCCTTTCCAAATTGTGCAAAGCTTTTTTAGAAATAGATATATAATGGGGGTGTTTCCTGCTATATAAAAACCCCTGTGCAGACACAAGAAATCACACCCAGTCAGAGCCGTGAGTCACAGTGGAAAGGCAGTTGCCGGCTTCTGTGTGTCTGTTTTTCAAGGGAATTGGGTGAAAGTGGGTGGAGAAGCCCCGGCAGAGACCCCTTGGAGAGGGACTGGCAGGCAGAGGCCAACCGGGTGGGAGGGGCTGGCATTCCCCCCCCCCAGCACGGACCGTAACCCTCCTTTCTTTAGGAGCTGCGGGAGCGCGTCTTGCGTGGCAAATACCGCGTCCCCTTCTACATGTCCACGGACTGCGAGAACATTTTGAGGCGCTTCCTGGTGCTGAATCCTGCCAAGCGGTGCACCCTGGAGGTGAGAAGATTTTTCCAAGTTTTTTTGGGGGGGCAGAGAAGAATAGAGGCCTGGGGAGACCAGGAAGCTTGGGCGCCTTCTCGAAGGGGCTGGCCTTCTGCGGGATATGTTACTCAGATATGGGGCACGGTGGTGGGCAGGAGAGTCTCCCCTGTTTCTCTCCGAGGTTGCACATCTCTGGTGGGTGTCTCTTCTCGCCCCGCCCCCAAACCTGCTCTCTTGCTTTCTCTTTCTTGGAGCGGCTCGAGATGTTCCTTGCTCAGTTTGGGTCCCTGGGGTGGAGAAAAACGAGAGCGCAGCTGGCGTGCGTTCATTTGCCTCCCCTAAATAGAAATGCCAGCCCCTGCCTTCCCTCCACCCCCACCCCCACCCTTGGCAACACCAAGCCCCCAGTTTCCCAGGCGCACCACCAACCTGCTCCCTTTTGCTGGAGAGACGAGGCCTTTAATTAGCTAATGCCCTCCCTGGGATCTAGTCCTTCCCCAAAGCCTTGCCTACCACCATCCCCCGCCTTCCGTTCCCCCACCCCTACCCCCAAGGATGACTGTAATTAGCCTAATCGACTCAAGGATAATTATATGCTGTGTCAGGGAGGCTGTGTACAGCCCCAGTGCCCCTCGTGGTGAACAACGCCTTTCCTCCCTCCCTCCCTCCCTCCGTCTCCCGGGGTCTCCTAGCCGTGGACTTTGCAGAGAGAATGCTAAGAACATTGGGGAGGGGCGGCCCTTGCAAGACTGCCCTTTGAGCCCCCTCCAGCCTAAAAGCTGGTGTTGAGTTTCTGTTTTTCCCTCCTTCCCTCCTAAAACCGAAGGGGTTAGGGTGGTTTTGGCTGGACCCTACATGCAGTGTGCAAGGGTACCCCTGATCATGTGCAGGGAGCACCTTCCCTTTGCCACTGAGCTCAGGGGGACCTGAAGGCAGAAGCTTCCAGGAAAGACACTGAAGCCTGGGTGTGAAGAGGTTGGCACGGATTCTGAGCACTCTTTCCCCTCCCTCCCTCCAGCAAATCATGAAAGACAAATGGATCAATATCGGTTATGAGGGAGATGAGCTGAAGCCCTACAAGGAACCGGAAGAGGATTTTGCTGACGCCAAACGCATCGGTAGGAGAGAGAAGGAGGGGGATTGTGTGTGTGTGTTGTGTTGTGTTTTGGGGGAAGGAATGGCCTCTGCTCTGTCCTCAGGGTCGTTCTTGTCCAATAGCTGGGGGGGGGGGAAGGTCTTTTCCCAGCACTTGCAACGTCTGGAGAGGTGTCGGGCAGGATAGGATGCTGGGACTTTCTTCCTTGGAAAGCCCCTGCCCTTTGCCTTCTGTTGTGGCTTCTCCGGGAAACAAGGAAGGCAGGGAAGAAGGGCAGAGCGGAGGAGGCTGGGCCAAGGGGCACCGAGCAGAGAACCGCCCCAAGCAGGCCCGGGGCAATCGCTCAGAGGGGCTCGGAAGGATTCTGTGCTCCGGGTCAGCATTTGAGTTGTACAATTGTGATGGGGGTGAACGTGGGCTTTTCAGTATCTCCTAAACCTGGTGGTGCTACCGCTTAAATATTTCGGTAGGCCAGGAAAGGTGCGGCTCGCAGTCTGCTTTTGAATTGCACCTTACCTCTCCTTCCACCTTCCTCCTCCTCCTCCTCCTCTTCTTTTGACTCCCTCTTGCTGTCCAGAAGTGATGGTGGGAATGGGTTACACCCGGGAAGAGATCAAGGAAGCGCTGACCAACCAGAAATACAACGAGGTCACTGCCACCTACCTCCTGCTGGGCAGGAAGACTGAGGTGAGCCCCCCCCCTTGCTTCCTTGCAGAGGATGTCTATGCGGGAAGGACGGGCATCATCATCACAGGGAGGGTCCCGGTGGGAGAATCCCAGCAACGGGGACATGTGCAAAACCAGAAGGGGACAGAGTCACTCGGCTAAATAAAGCCAAAAAGCCCCAGCAGGGCAAGAGCTTTGACAGGGCTAGCTAAAAGAACATGAAGCCATGGACAAGTTTTAAATCCTCAGGGGACTCTCCCCCAGCCTGGTTGCTCAACACACACACACACAGAGAGAGATACACAAACACACATGGAGTGTGTGGGGGTGGTGGAGAGATAAGAATATGCTCACGAGCACGATCGGAAAGGCCCCAGCGCTACCGTTTGCAGCTGCCTTCGAAGGAAGTTCTGTGCATGTTATCTTAATTAGATTAGGCCATGCGAAATGCAGAACAGATTTCCGGGGGTATCGCGGCAGTAGCCCTGATTTTTAAAAAGGCCAAGGACGTAGCTTCGAAAGAACCGGACTGAAGCAACACTGGGGGGGGGGGGNCGACAACCCTAACAGTAATTGTGGCTGGCATTCAGCTGCTCAGCGACTGGCTGACTGGGGCTCTTGGAGACATTGTTGAAAATGAATTCTTCTCTGCTCTCATACAAGGTGGTGGGTCGTCCCTGATTCCAAATCGGGAACGGGCAGCTTGAACCTGTCAGATTGCATGCCCCATCCACCCCGATCAGCATAGCCATGGTGAAGGATGATGGGACTTGGAATCCAGCTGCCCCTCAGAGGGCTGCAAGCTGCCTGCCTTGATTTGGACTGGGCTGAGTTCCGTCTCCTTCCCGAAGGCGACTCCTTCCGTCAAGGGCTTCTCTTCCACCATTGTTCCGACACAGGCCTACCTGTGGACTTGTTTATCTGCTTGCTTATCTTGACCCGATCCGCGCAGCCCAGCCCCACGTGGCTTTATCCCACCTCCCCTTGCTTCCTGGGCCTGATGGCATTCCCGTCTCCCTGCAGGTGGAAGGGGGTGAGTCGCGCACTGGAAGCAGCCTTTCTCTGGCGCGGGTGCGGGCGCCCAGCGAGGTCTCCAATGGTACTAGCAAATCATCATCCTCTTCCTCGCACTCCAAGAGCCAACGTAGCTCTTCCACGTACCATCGGCAACGGCGGCACAGCGATTTCTGTGAGTACGCCTTGCACCGTCTTGGGGCCATCTTGCACACGTCCTAAGCGTAGTTCCCTTTTAAAGCTAACCATGTCGGCAACTGTAAGTGCATCTTGTGGCAGTGAAAAAGGGCATGCATTTTGGATTTTTTAAGACTGCAAACCCCATCAATCTCTTTTCTGGGAGTCCCACCTGCAGGATCCAGATTTTACAGACACCTAAATTCTGCTCACCTGGAGAGAAGGCCTACCTGGCATACTTCATGCCTTGGATAGGCCTAACTTCCTGTTTGAAAAGGAAGCTGCCCCAATGGTTGCTGGGAAACCCCAGTGGTTGTTGGGAAGTTTTGTTTTCAAACAGGAAGTTAGGCCTATCCAAGCTATGGAGGCAGCCCAGCTGGGCCTTCTCTCCAGGTGAGCAGAATTTAGGTGTCTGTAAAGGTCTGGGTCCTGCAGGTGGGGCTCCTAGAAAGGAGACTTATGGGGCTTGCAGTCTTGGAAAAAAAAAAGCCAAAATGTGCTTCCCTAGTAGTGAATTCCACAATTACATTCTTCTGCTTTTGTGTTGCCACCTGAAGTTGTCTCAGCCAATGCTTGGCGGCCACAGTTTCTCACATGGTCTTGCAAAAGCTCAACCCCTTACGTGAAGATTGTGGCCCGTCCGTGATCTGAAGCCCATGCTCCCCCTCACACAGCCCTTCCCTCTCCTTGAGCTGCACCTTGGAAGGCCCCTTCTCTCTTTCACTTGCTCCCCTTCCCTCTCTTTGCAGGCGGCCCCTCCCCGGTGCCCATGCACCCGAAGCGGAGCCCCACCAGCACCGGCGATGGGGAGCTGAAGGAGGAGCGCATGCCTTCGCGCAAGGCCAGCTGCAGTGTGGTGAGCAGCGGGCGGGGCATCCCTCCTTCCAGCCCGATGGTCAGCAGTGCAAACAACCCCAACAAGTCAGAAATCCCCGACCGGCGGAAGGACAGCGCCGTCAACACGGTGAGTGGATAGATCCAGGCTCCTGTCCGGGGTCTCCACAGGGTGAGATGCTCAGTCGAAAGCAGGTGGACTCGCTCGCTCGTCTCACCAGCGGCCTGGAAAACCTGATCAGGCTCTTGAGAGGGAAGGAGAGGGAGCAATGTTGGCCGCCTGCGATGCTAGCGATGCTCACTTGAGTCTGACCTGAGTTGAAAGCTGCAGCCCATGGAGCTTCCACACACGGGGGGTGGTTCCCGAAAAGGGCCACTTCTCTCAAGGTCCTTGGCTGCCACTGCTGCCCAAATCATCCACGTGGGTATTTTGGCCTGAGGTCTTCCTCTCTCTCTCTCTCTCTCTGTTTACAGAATAACATTCCCTCCAGCATGATGACCCGGAGGAACACCTACGTCTGCACAGAGAGGCCTGGTGGGGACCGCCACTCGTTGCTCCAGAATGGGAAGGAGAACAGGTGGGATCGGGTGCCGGGGAAGAGGGGCTCCAGGGCAGTGAGATCACTCCTCGGTCAAAAAGTGGCTTTTGCCCTTTGGTGGCAAGAGCTCTGAGGCAGCAGAATGGACTTCCCCCCGGTGGTAGGCTCTCTTTTGTTGGAGGTTTCCATGCAGAAGGTGGGTGGCCCTCTCCCAGGGACGATGGAGCTATTTCGTGGCTCTGCAGGAGGTGGACGAAGTGAAGCCCTCTGTTCTGTCCACCTCTCGGATTCTGTGGCCTGCATCCTAGATCCGAGGCTTCTTGGCCAACAAGGGATGCCTCTCCCGTTGGCTTCCATTCTTGTGTTTCTAATCTCACATGCTAAGGAGGCCAGTCTGCCCTTGAAAGCGACTTGAGGTTCCTGCTGTCCTTTAAGCTTTCCTGCAAGGTGGAGGTGCGGATGGGGTGGAGGGAGGGGAGAGAAAGAAGCTTGCATTCAGGAAGAGCGAGAGGTTGGGGTGGAGAACCCCTTCTTCTCAAATTCAGTGTGTAGGGACAGGTGTGGACGTCGCAATGAGTGGCTTCATCCCACCCCCACCCCTGCTTGTGAGCCTCCATGGGTGAGTTCTAGATAAAGAGCTGCTCAAGAGGCAGGAAAACCAGCCCAGGAGAACCCCTTTAGCAATGGTGGTCTAGTTTCACTTACTTTGGGGTGGTGGATGGTGCTGGTG